GTTTAAGCGCGGGGGCACAGGTGTTCCAGCAAACACAAAAGGGGGGGGGGGGGGAAAATGGCTTTCATATTTGTATTGGCATGTCAGGAATGAAAACGTGCGAGAAGAAATCACCCTTTCAAGAAGAAATCACCCTTTTGTGACTTCTGCTGTTAGAAAGCGGCTATTACTTTTTGACAACGGGGTTCTTATAGGAGGAGGAAAAGGTGTGTTTCTTTTCTCTTTGGGTTTTTAACTCCATTTCCTCAGAAACATGGGAAAAAGGACCAGTAACCCACCCCGGGCAGCTTTGGGGCAAGAAGCCACTGAGGCATCGCTGCCTGCTCAGAAACCAAGGAGCTGCCCAAACCCTGCCTAAGGGACCTTTTTGGGGGGGGGGGGGGGAAGTTATTTCTATAAATAACAATATAAGAGTAAAGTGATTTACAGTGTTCTGGGTCAGAAAGAGACCAAGTTATCCTGAGCTGCTGGGACGTGGTGCCTGGTACCCTGGGCAGACCTGGGAAGGCGAGGTGACAGCCTGGGCGCTGGCAGCCTGGCCTAAGAGCACTTTGCTGCTAACACACGGACGGGGAGGGTCGAGTACTCAGTCCTGACCCCTCAGAGCCCTCCCAGAAATACAACCGCTAACTGCATCGGGTGGTTACAGATGTGCTCGCCGAACGCTCCAGGTGCCGTTCCCCACGGCACCTGGATGTGTAATGAGGAGAGAACAGAGCGACTGCCGTCTGTGCCAGAATCGGCACATCTGGACGAGGGGCAGGGGGTCGTCTGAAGCACCAGAGGTGTTGGAAAGCTGCCTTTTTATAAAACAGCCCCGATCCCCGCACCTCGGCCAGCCCGAGCGCCGCCTTCCCTGCTGCAGCAGCATAGGCACACCTTGGCGAAGTAAGGCAATGCCAGAAGGCAGAGAGACCCACCGCGTTCTGCCCTCCGGCTTTGGGAAGCCAAAACAAAGGCACAAAACCACCAAGGCACCGGACAAGAGGAGGCACTTCTGTTCCAGGGGCGGGATCAGACCCTGTTCACCTTATTGCAAGAGTAAGGATACAGTCTGCGGGTGGGAGCAAAGGGCTTTCCAATTGTCTTTTTTTTTTTGTTGTTGTGATCTAAGCATCAAACATGGGAGTCAAGCGAAGCAGGAAAAACAATCAGGATTGATTTTCCTCCCAGCACAGGTCTCCCTCCTAGGAGCCCACAGCCATACGCAAGTGACCCCAACGTTCAAACGCCCTTACGCTCCCAGCCGTCAGAGATGCCGTCTGATTGTCACCCCAGCCTCTCTGCTGGAAACTGTTCCTGTGTCCTGGCGCTTTGAGAGCAAACAGGAGATGACACGCCTTGCCACAGCTATGGCACCACCAAGGACAGCCGGCCTGGTGATGGCGCCCCAGGAATTACGGCACGTGGCTGCCAAACAGCAGCCAAACAATATTTGGGGAGTTCCTCCCAGCTGGCTGCGATTTAGTCCTGTGGCTCCAGCTCTCAGATCGAGAGCGTAATGTCTCGCTTGGACCAAAGCAGCACAGACGTGCCTGCATCCCCAGTATCTTCATCAAGCAGACACGGCTCAAAAAACAACAGTGGCAGCTGAATCTCATCAGCCGTTCAAAGCTCAACGTCCACGGTGTCCTCCTCGTGGTCCTTGGCGTCCGTCGAGTCCGCGGTGGCAGGCTGTAGCACCCCAAACTGTGACAGCTTTGCCGCCTTCTGCTCCATGCTCTGCTTCCTCCATTTGATCCTCCGGTTCTGGAACCAGACTTTCACCTAGCAGGAAAATGGCCCAACAGCTTAATCCCAGGTCTCCAGGAGCCCCTTTCCAATGGGGGCTGTTGCCACATGCTTCCGAGGCAGATGTCCCCAAAAAGCAGAGCTCCTTAAACTGGGGGACGTGCCCCTTCTCTGCTTGGGGCACAGCGCGTGCGAGCGGGAGGAGGTGACGCTATGGAGGGCACAGCTGCCAGAGAGCACGATGAGACACCCGCCTACACCCTGCCTCTTCCCCCTGTGCTCTGCACACCCTCCCTGACCCCCCAGAACCGCCCGTGCTTTCCTCTCCCTTTCCCCAGCTGAATTGGGATCCCACCACAGAAGATCGGATGGCTCCTCCTTTCCACAAGAAATAAGCAGCTTGCAGCGCGAGGGGCAGAAACACACTGGGAAGAGCAGAAAAAAATTTAGATCCAGTGTCATAAAAGGACACTTAAAGCATGAACTGTCTTCAGAGGATCATAACGATGTGGATACCTTAGTCCAACCCCGCTTGAAGTCTAAAGCAAGCAGGTTTGTGCTCCTAAATGCTTTTTGTTCCACTTCATGGATTAAGAAAAGGATGTTCTTATTCATAAACCATCTAAACCTATCTCGCCTCCCTCCAGGCACGTGGCTTCAATGTCATCTTTGCAGCAGGGAGTCCCACAGGTCACTTTGCATCGTGTCCTCCTCCCGCTGCGCTTCCCGGCAAGGAAATCACCGCAGACGGAACCCAGAGCCAGGACCTCTGCCACCATCCCCAGCTCCCCCATTTCTTACCTGAGTCTCTGTGAGATGCAGAGTTGCAGCCAGGTCTACTCGCTCGGTGCCCACCATGTACTGCTGCTTGAGGAACTCTTGCTCCAGCCGCTCCAGCTGCTCTGGTTTGAAGACGGTGCGGACCCTCTTCATCTTGCAGGGCCCCCCGGGCCTCCAAGGCACAGTGGGACCCAGCGAGTTGGCCCCTACGCAGTGAGACAACTCCAGACCTGCAAGAAAGAAGCAGCCGCTGAAGGGGTCTGCAGGTCTGAGGCCGTTCCCGTTGAAGTGCCAAGCCCAGCTTGCTTCAGCTGTAGCTGAAATCCAAATGCAGCTGCTCTGTGTGCTGAAGGGAGCTGGGAGAAAGTAGCAAAAAGAAAAGCAGGGATGTCCCTACCCTGTCCCTACCTAGATCATCTCATCTAGGCTCCCTTTCCCACAAAAGGTTGGACCAGGTGATCTTTTGAGGTCATTTCCAACCTATTCTATCAGTCTACCCACAGGTACAACCTAGGACCATCCTGGACGTGCCACCAGACCCAAAGAAGTCAGCACTCGATGACGCGAGCAGGGCTTGACTTCCCTCTGTGCAGGATCTTTGTAACGGAATCATGAAGTCCATCGAGAGCTGCTGGATGCAAAAATCCCAGCTCCATCTCAGGAAGCCCCTGATCACAAATGTCCCAAGGTTGGAGGAGTTCACCCCATGCTGGCCCCTGCCTTTACCCTTCCCCTGGCAGCCACGGTCAGCCAGTGTCCGGGAGGAGATGCTGATGAAGCCAAGAGTCACCAGCCTTCCTGCAGGTCCTCATCTTGGACCTCAGACCTTTGGTCTCAGGAGGCTGAACCATCCACAAAGTTCCTGGTGTGCAGAGGCGTTAGCAGGACTGACAATGGATCTGGTCTCGGTCTCCTAGTTGTGGCCTGATGATAACCCTAATTAACTAATTACCATACAATACAACACCAGCACCGTCACAGGACCAGCCGGCACCAGCCCAAGAGTTTCTAAAGCCCTCATCCTGCCAGCACAGACTGGGATTCTCACACATCTGGATGTACAAAAGGAGGGCGCGACTGCTCCGTCCTCCTGAAGGACCTTCGCGCCAGCCAGCCCTCGCTGCCGGGAGGACTGCGGGGTGCAGAGACCACCCTCAAGGGCCGGGGAAAGGGGGCTGCCGCCACCGAGGCAAAACACCTCTGCATTCAGGACGCTGGTTCTGGAGCTAACGACGTGCACAGGAACGTTAGCGTAGACTTTTTGCACATCTGACCGTCAAGCGCTGGGGGGGACAACCGGGCCCCCCCTGCTCGGTGCCGCTGGATTGGGGACTCCGCTCCCGTTCGCAGCCCCCGAAAGAGCCCAGGCAGTGGGACCTGGCTGCACAGGCGAGCCCGCTGCGTGCCACGGGAACACCTCCACGTACAATCGTGGAGGCATTAGGAGCCAGATAAGGCCAGCAGTAAGGTACGTCTGACGGTAGCACAGCTTCTGCCCTGCCAACACCCAGGCGCACGCTTAACTTTAAGAAAAAACCGCTGCTTATCTCTCCTTTAATGCCTGACGCTGTCGTGTTCTCCAGGCACAAGCAGGCACCTTGACCTACTTCGTTTCATTAATTGGGTGCAAGTTCTGCGCGCGGTTAAGGATTTGTGGGATGGAGGCCTGACAGCTTAACAGCCGTAATTGCACTTAAAACTATTTTCTTTGTTAAAATAATTTCACCCGTCACTTTTTTTTTTTTTCTATTTTAATACTAGGATAATAGCAAGCGTAATTTCAAACATGAATTACTTTGTGGAAATCGCTTTGCAAACTGTTTAACTATATTTTCATACCTGTATTTTTGATATAATACACAGATTAACACACAACTATGCAAATGCTGTCTCGAAAAAGAAATAATAGATTAAATAGTTATGCAAAGTAGTTAAAAAAAAAATCAAGAGTAGCAAACACTTTTGGTATCTGAATATTGTAGCTATCAGGATCAAATCAAGAGTTCCTGATAAAATATAAAATACCTGCTCGGCTGCAGGTTTTGCCTGGGCGACGACGAGATCAGGCTCTGAATGCTAAAGAGAGACTTAATTTCAAGAAAAATATTCTGAATGGAGGTACTTCATTCAAACAAACGAGTCGTTTTGCTTATAAAACGTTGCAGTACCCCTCAGTGAAAATGCAGAGAGCCTGATGGATTAGCCAGGATCCTTCATCGCCGCCGCGTAAATTTTACCCACGGATCAGCAACAAAACCCTTTTTCCCTAGGTGCTTTTGCACTAAAAATACCAACAGTTTTTGGGGCCGGGTGCTGCGAAACACTCAGCATCTTCACTTCTGCCAGGGGAAAATTGCAGGGAGAGCAAAATTCCAGATGGAGGAGGGCAGGTTTGGGAGGAGAGGGGGCCCCGCACAACAGCAGAGCTGGCACGGGGGGAAATTACCTTCGGGGATGGGGCTTCGGGAAATTACAGCAGGGTTTCATAGGCGTGATGAAAATACAGGCACTGAAGGGCCTTTATAGTGCACGAAAGGAGAAATAAGAGCCAGCGTGGGCAAAGCAGCCCCCGAAATGCAGGTGGGGGGCACCCGTGGACGTGGGGGGCTGCCCCCGACCTGCAACCCTCTGCTGAAGGCTGCGAGTCCTGGCACCAGCGTGTCGCTGCACCCGGGCGTTAACTGCTGGGGCAAATGGCTGATATTAATGATCGAGCGCTACAGAGGGGGAAAATCACAGAATCATAGAATGGTTTAGGTTGGAAAAGACCCTTAAGATCATCGAGTCCGACCGTTAACCCAGCACTGCCAAGGCCACCACTA